ATAGACACACAGAATGACAGATAAAGAGATACGTAGATAGATTACGAGAGAGAATAGATAAACAGTGAGAGAGAGAGGGGGGGAGGAGAGAGAGAGAGTGAGAGAGAGAGGGGGGGGAGGAGAGAGAGAGAGAGTGAGAGAGAGAGAGAGAGAGAGAGCAGTAAAAAGCAGAGTGAGAACAACACATCCGAGGCACAAAGGCGACCCTCCCTACCTGAACTTGTTGGGCGAATGCTGGCCGCTCCGGATCTTCGTGAGCATCGCCTCGGGTCTGTTGTTCTCGCACCAGATCTGGCCGAAGTTGAGGAAGAAGAGCTGGTCGTGCGTGAGGTTGACGTAGGGCACCGTCACCTGCTCCTCGTTCTTCTCAGCCCACTTCTTGTAGGCCTGAAGTGAGAATCGTGAATGAGACATGTTTTCGGGAGATAGCAACGTGAAGGTGTGTACTCGTTACCTATAATCGCATAGGTCTGAATTTGTGTGAGGTTTATTTCTTTTTCTTTGGATGGAGACTGATGCCTAATGCCTTACACTCCTGTCCGTGGTTTTAGAAAGATATATATGATTAAGCAAATTCACTCAAGCCCGTGTTACAGTCGTATTATTCCGGAAACCTTAAAAAGAAAGCCATTTGTTTGAGGGCTTTTATTTCTTGTATAAGTTTTAGACGCAAATATTGCGTTCAGCAAATTCAAATTCAGAAATCGAAATGCATGAAACAATAAAAATGTACGAATAAAATATTTATGAATATAAATAGATTTAAAGCAGACCAGCCCTCTGAACACGACACGCAAATACTGAAAATGCTCCATGTGAATATCTTTATATTTTCCTTAATTAAATGTTAACTTCTTTTATCACTATGTTTATGCTCGAAGAAGGGGACACTAATATTTACGAAATATGTGTGTATGTGGGTGTGTGTGTGTGTCTGTGTGTGTGTGTGAGAGAGAGAGAGAGAGAGAGAGAGAGAGAGAGAGAGAGAGAGAGAGAGAGAGAGAGAGAGAGAGAGAGAGAGAGAGAGAGAGAGAGAGAGAGAGAGAGAGAGAGAGAGAGAGAGAGAGAGAGAGAGAGAGAGAGAGAGAATGAAAGATAGATAGATAGATAGATAGATAGAGAGAGAGAGAGAGAGAGAGAGAGAGAGAGAAAGCGACACGGACATTAGACAAACTTTATATTTATATTAATCAAATCTTTATATTTTCCTTAATTAAATGTTATCAGAGATCCGGAACTTCTTTTATCACTATATTTGTGCTCGAAGAAGGGGACACTAATACCTACGAAATACTTGGTTGGAAAACAAAATATGTGTGTGTGTGTGAGAGAGTGAGAGAGAGAGACAGAAAGCGAGAGAGAGAGAGAGAGAGAGAGAGAGAGAGAGAGAGAGAGAGAGAGAGAGAGAGAGAAAGAGAAAGAGAAAGAGAAAGAGAGAAAGAGAGAGAAACAGAGAGAGAGAGAGAGAGAGAGAGAGAGAGAGAGAGAGAGAGAGAGAGAGAGAGAGAGAGAAAGAGAAAGAGAAATAGAGAGAGAAACAGAGAGAGAGAGAGAGAGAGATAGAGATAGATAGATAGATAGATAGATAGATAGAGAGAGAGAGAGAGAGAGAGAGAGAGAGAGAGAGAGAGAGAGAGAGATAGAGAGAGAGAGAGAGAGAGAGAGAGGGAGGGAGAAAGCGACACGGACATTAGTCAAACTTTCCGAGAACTATATAATGCTTAAAAAAAAGCGAATGACGTCATTTGCTTATCTTATCTATTGGCTGCGTTGGTGGAATAGGTCACGTATTAGTCTCCTTTACCACTTGTTTGCTCCTCACTTTTTTCGCACTAGAATTAGCACAACTTACTAGGAAATACGAAATGAAGACGAATAAACTGCTGCTGATTCACTACATCGTATGATAATAATTGTGAGTACTTTCAGATATATTCTTCAATATATGACTGTTATTCTTACTCTTATTAGTATTTTTTATACTGTTAATGATGATGGTGATAGTGATATCGGGATTAATAGGTAATGACAGCAATGATAATGATGATAACAATTACAATTATTAATTGTTTTTCCTAGCACTATCAATGTAAATGTTACCATCCTCATGATTATCATCATTGTGGATACCATTATCATAATCAGAATAAATATCAATAAAATTAGTATCAGAGTTACCATGAAAAGATATACAGTTAGAGAGAAAAAAAAACAATCTTCTAAATTTTAATAAACAAACAAATAAACAAATAAAAGAATAAACAGATAAACACACACACACACAAATAATAAAGAAAGAAACGTACACAAATCATTCCAAAAGGATACAGATACTGGCGATAACTGAGCGATAAGAAAGCTTTGAGGGAATCCACCTGACCAACCCACCTGGTAAGCAATTTTGATCCCGGCGTTGTCTGCTATGTTTTCGCCGAGGGTGTTGACGGGGTTGATGTTGAGGCCAACTTCGTCCACTTTGTACTCCCCGTATTGGTCTGTGGAGAGGGAGGGAGGGAGAGAGGAGAGAGGGAGGGAAAGAGGAGGGAGGGAGGGAGAGAGGAAGGATGGATGGATGGAGGGAGGGGGAGGAGGAGGGAGAGAAAAGGAAGAAGGGAGGGAGGGAGGGAAGTAGAGAGAGAGAGAGAGAGAGAGAGAGAGAGAGAGAGAGAGAGAGAGACTTAATTAGTTTGATCTTACATGTTACGCAAAGCAATTTATCTACTGGACCGTGCTGTATGACAGGATACATATTCAGCCTAATACACGACGTATGTGCCATTGTTACAAAAAACGTTATAATCTACATCGAATACTACGGGATTAGATTAATCACGCCTTTGCCATAGATCATGTAAAGGCTATAATCAGATACGAATATCCACGTTTCCAAGAAGAAAACTTTCGTAAACAGGGTTTTCTCCCCTAGAAGCGCATTCACTAGCAAAGAAAAAAAGATAACATCTAACAGATATGCGAGTTCTTCTGTCCGTATTGTGAAATGATAGTCTTCACAAGGGGAAAAAAACACTGTCACAATATGAACTGAACGTACTATTTCGAACCCATGTAAGTTCTTATCAGACAAAAAAATCATATTATGGCAGTGTCTCTTTTTACCTATCCTTGTGTACACGATACTATATTCACGTTTAAATATTCTTCACATTTAAACTACGTTGCCAAAAATAACAACCAAACAACGAAGGAACAGGTAAATAAGGAAGGACCCTCACAATAACCACGGTCTGCTCTCCTTTGAAAACAGTCCGAGGCCTTCCTACGTCTCACACACCTCTCTACACTCACCCAACATACACGAAGCCCTCTGGTAGAACTTGGACACGTCTTCGGGCTTCCACCACTGGTTTAGATTCCCGTCCTTGTCGAACTGGCGGCCGCGATCGTCGAAGCCGTGCGTGATCTCGTGGCCGATGACAACGCCGATGCCCCCGTAGTTAAGGGACTTAGGGAAGGCAGGGTGGTAGAAGGGCGGCTGCAGGATGCCCGCGGGGAACACTGCCGAGGGGAAAGGAAGGATTTCTCTTTGGCCGATGGGTTTGCGTTTTATTATCTCTTGATGTGGTTTGTCAGTGTATGTTCGCGTGCGCATGATAGCGGTAGTGACGATAAGGATAGCGCTACTAGTGATAAGTGCTGTGAACTCATATCAATAGTTACAATAGCAAAATGCCGTTACAAGTAACAACGTCAATCTCAAAATAGGTAACAAAATTAATAAAAACGTCGAAATTAATAAATCACTGAACAGTCTCCTTTATAACCTGTCTATGATCCGTCTATATAACTCTTACTCTCATGCTAACTCTCATGCACACTCTCACGCTCATGTTCATGCGCATGAAGTCCCTCAAGTTCATTCTCACACACTCTCACTCTTATGCTTACTCTCACTCTCATGTTCGGTCTCATGAGCACTCCCATACACTCTCTTACTCTCATGATCACTCACATACACTCCCATCTATATTCACTCTAATGCACCCTCTCATTCTTATGATCTCACGAACACTCTTACTTTCATACACATCACGAACACTCTCACTTTCATACACACTTAGACTCTAATTCTTATCGTCACTTTCTCACCCTCATGGTCACTCTCATGCTCTCTCACATTCTCACGATTACTCTTACGCCTTCTCACCCATCATGTTCTCTCATGCACTCTCTCACTCTCGTTCTCACTCCCGCCCACTCTCTCACCGATCATATTCTTGGAACGGCTGTAATAGGCGTTCACCACAGCCGGCGTCGTCACCCAAGCTGTCCGGTTGACGGGGGCGGCGAGGAGGTTGTGGTTGGTGCGGGCGTGGAACTGCAACATCTTCAGGACGTTCTTGAAGTGTTCGTCAGGACTAAAGCTCAGCTGGGAAGGGGAAGAGAGAGAGAGAGGTTTTGGGAGTGTTCTCGCACACTAGAATTAGCATAACCTGCCTGCCTCTTTACTTGAAAATAGATAAACCTGTTGCTAATCCGTACACTTTTTACGATAATAATTACGTGTAGTTGTTATTGGCGTTGGAGATAATAATTTCAGAAGCCTTGAACTCCAATGTCTGTGGTTCGTGGGTGTTGTGTGAAGTTATCCCTAAATTAGGCGTTTTGGGATGTCGTTCGTGTTGCATGATGAGGTGGAGGATGGAGGGCAGTCGGAATTTTCTGTGGTAATGTTACGAATTGTGGCGACGGCAGTGAAAATGGTGATAATAGTGTGGTAATGAAAATGATGGTGGTAATGGTGTGGTAATGAAAATAGGGGTGATAATGGTGAAAATAATGATGATAATGGTGTGGTAACGAAAACAATGGTGATAATAGTGTGGTAATAGCAATGGAAATGATAATTGTGATAATGGTGCGGTTATGGCAGTGGAAATTATATCAATGGTGATGGAGGTTTATTATTACTATTATTGATATCTGATTACTATTGATTAAGTCAAGATGCAGGACCCGGATCAAATATCCTTTAAATAACA